TCCCCCCCGCCGCCGCAGGCTGCAGAACCTGCGGCCGACACCGGCTGTCCCCCCATGCCAGATGACCAACCCCGCCATCCAGAACGACTTCAGCTACTACCGCCGAACCCTGAGCCGCAACCGCCTCAACAACCTGCAGCTGGAGGCGGAGAGCGAGGTCAGCAACGAGATGGCCAACAGGATGTCCCTCTTCTACGCCGAGGCCACCCCCATGCTCAAGACGCTCAGCAACGCCACCACCAAGTTCGTGTCGGAGGTGAGCGGGGATGGACGCGGCGGGGCAGGGGACGGGGCGGGAATGGCCACCTTGGGCCTCTCTCCTTCCAGAACAAGACGCTCCCCATCGAGGACACGACCGACTGCCTCAGCACCATGGCCTGCGTGTGCCGGGTGATGCTGGAGACACCGTGAGTGTCCCCACGGCGCGATGGTGGCCCCGGGGTCCCACCAGCACCCATGCTCACCCCCATGTCCCCCCTTCCCGGTGACAGGGAGTACCGGAGCCGCTTCACCAACACCGAGACCCTCCTCTTCTGCATGCGCGTCATGGTGGGCGTCATCATCCTCTACGACCACGTCCACCCCGTGGGCGCCTTCGCCAAGACCTCCAAGATTGACGTGAGTGAGCGCCGGGCACGCGGGGACAGTGCCCGTGACTCCCTCGCGGGCTGGTCGTTGAGGGGGTGGCTGGTTCCCTGGGTGAAGAGGAGGAGGGTAGACCCGGCTGCATGAAGGGGTGGGGAGGAAGGCTCACCGCCTCTCCGTCCAGATGAAAGGATGCATCAAAGTCCTCAAAGAGCAGCCGTCCAACAGCACCGAGGGGCTCCCGCCGGGCACGCGGGGACAGTGCCCGTGACTCCCTCGCGGGCTGGTCGTTGAGGGGGTGGCTGGTTCCCTGGGTGAAGAGGAGGAGGGTAGACCCGGCTGCATGAAGGGGTGGGGAGGAAGGCTCACCGCCTCTCCGTCCAGATGAAAGGATGCATCAAAGTCCTCAAAGAGCAGCCGTCCAACAGCACCGAGGGGCTCCTGAACGCACTGAGGTGAGTCGGGACCCCCCTGCAGCCTTCATCCTCCCCGGGGTTCCTTCCTCCTCATCCCGGTCCGGTGGGGGCGGCCGGCCCCGTCACGCTGTCCCCGCGCAGGTACACGACCAGGCACCTGCACGACGACACCACGTCCAAGCAGATCTGCTCCCTGCTCCAGTGAGCGTCGGGGGCACCGGCTGCATCGTCACTGCGACACCCATGACCATTTTGTACCGAGGGGAAAGGGACAAAAATGACCATCCGTGAATATGGAATACTCAGAATGAGGAATAATGCTCCAAGCCAAGCGACATGGGCCAAGCCCTCCCCCCTGCTCCGCTCCCCCTTTCGCACCCGGTTCTGGACTCAGTGGGACGGTGTCACCCCAGGGACACTGGAGCTGGAGACCCCCTGGAGGGGGTGGTGGGAGGTGCTGGGGCAGGCCCGGGGCAGGATGGAGCCTGGGGCAGGATGGAGCCCGGGGCACAGCTGCTGCTGGGGGTTTCTGGAGGGATAAAGTGGTCCAGGACCAGGCTGCAGATGGGGATATCCCCCCCGCAAGGGGACAGGGACATCCCCTGGGGACCCGAGGAGGGGGCAGGCAGGGCTGGGGGCATCCAGGAACCCCCATCCCAGCTGGTGGCAATGGAGGCTGGGGATGGTGAGTGACCAGCGCTGGAGCAGGAGGAGGAGGAGGAAGGAGCATCTTCACAGCCCTGTGCTGACCTCAGTGGAAAGGACTCGGTCTCACCCGGTAGATTTTTACTCCAAATAATTAAATCTCCACTCACCTTCTTTGATACTTCTCTTTCTTTTTTCTTTTCTCCCTTTTTTTTTTTTTGGTGTGAAATAAAATGACATTTAATCCATCTGCAGCCAAGGGGGGGCCATCTCTCATGGGGCGACAGGTCTGGTCGCTCCAGGCACCGCTCACCTCGGTGGCTGCAGATGGTGGGGGTGACCGGGAGGCTGCCGGCAGGTGGCCCTGTGACACCGTGACA